GTTGGTTTTAAATTTGTAACACGGGTATTTATGAGTTCATGTTAAAAGATTAATGTAAATATGTAAAGATTTCCAACATGGCATATAAAATTAAGTAAAATATTTTGATTGGTTAATTTAATTTATATGTACTTTAAAAAACCTTATTGAGTGACATATAATTTTTTTTCACCAAGTGTCTCCTCAATTAATATATCGAGGATATCTCCTTCATTATTTCAGAAGATTATGATCAAGATATTCAATGATTTTCCCAAATGTACGAGTGTCTATTCTTCAATCAAATTATTATTGTGTAAAATATAAGAATTTTGATATGCCAAAAAATATCTTGGCTTAATTTTTCTATAATCCAATATTTGAGACAAGATGAATTAAATGCCAAAAAATATCTTGGCTTAATTTTTCTATAATCCAATATTTGAGACAAGATGAATTAAATGAACTAAACATTATATAATGTAAACATAAATCATGGAGTTCATCACTCTTAATTTTTTTCACATGTCTTAATTAGTATGATTCTATATTTTATTTGTAATCCATAAATATTTATTTTTTGATTGATCAGTACCTTTTATTTTGTAATATAAGTAATTTCCAACGATAATACAATTTGATTTTACCAGTCGAATTAATGCCATGTTTTAGGTCCACTAGAAAATTTGGTGAGTGAGCCATGTTTTAGGTCCATTAGAAGTAGTGCTACTCGACGGCTACACTTACCTTGAAAGATTAGTGTGGTACTATTACAACCACTAGATTTAGAGATTTTTATTATTTGCTTAATTACTAAATTTTTCTCATTATTTGTTAAATTAACCCATAAGAAAAAGTTGTAGTTTTTTTGGTTATTTGTTAAATTTTTGAAAACATGAGTTAGTTTTAAAAAAACACAAATTTTTTTGTAATATTTTTACAAAGTTCAGTTTAGTATCAATAATCTGTTTGGCGGAGACCACAAATTTCGGTGTATTTACGAGTCAATCCCGGATACACAATGTACCAAACCAACTTTACGAAAGTAAAGTTGAAACAACGTTGAAAAAGTTTTGAAAGAGATTTCCACTAGAATTCATTCTGAATAAACAATCAAAAGAAAGCCGTTGTAGTAATTAAAGGTTGTTCAGCAGTAAGTGGAGACATTAAAAGTTAAAATTGCCCAAAGATCAAGAATCTTATGACAAGTGTTTGGTTGTCTGACAAGTGTTTTGCCCCACAAAGTTACGTAGACTTTTTTAGTTTTTACTGTCTCTTTGGACATATTTGGTTGTCTTAATCTCATTTGAACTTATTAGTTGGGGAATTACGAAAATCTTAAAAAATAATAAAAATCTTTGAAATTTAATTCCATACAAAATCTATGAATTATACAAGTCACATGAATGATGATGGAACAAACGAAACAAAAGGCAAAACTATATAGAACAAACACTAGTTCAAATGTATTTCCCCTACTATACATAAACACCAACAAGCTAGTCATCATCAAAACAAGCAATATATAGAGATGAATCATGATTTGAGAGAAAGACAATGCTCTTCTAACTTCAAAGTAAAAAGGAAAGACAATATAGAAATTAGGCCTTGGGAGGCATTGTTGAATTGGCAGATTTTCTCTTGAGGACAATGACCCAAGTAACAGCTTCCAAGAGCAAAGTAATGCCTCCCAAGGTCCCAATCACAGCGATGTAAGCCGTCTTGTAAGTATGCTCTGGCTTTAAGATACTAAGACCTTTGAAAACATTGATGATTCCAAGGATAAGGATAGAGTATCCAACTCCATGGTGATAAATGTTCCAAAAGAATCTAAACTTGTGGTCCTTCCTTGGCCGCAACAGCATCGCAAACATCTTCAAACACGCGCAAAAAGACACAAACATCATTCAACAACAGAACAAAACACATCTTTTCTTATTAGCCAACTTGCAATCCACTAACACTAATAATTGCAGACAGAGTTAGCACACAGTGGATTCGAGCCTGAAGTACTGCTAATTTCAAATTATTAATTGATCAACTTGCAATACACTAACTAACACTCTAATAGGATTAGCATTGATTTACCTGAAGAGTGGCGATAGCGAAGAGAGCAATGCCGATGTTTCGATGACTGCTGAATGTAATACCTTTAGACTCGGAGCCGAGCTTGAGTCCGGTGGCCCATCCGGCAACGCCGATGACGTAAGCAGAGAACTGACATGACACGTGGAGGTAAAACCAAGCAGGATCTGCAGATTCAAATATTCTCATGTATCTAGCTATCATTGCTCCGATCGGAAACAGAATTCCCCAGCTCACAGCGTTCAATATCCCATGGATCTGCAAGGAATTCAAAATCTTGAATTGAGTCTCAAGTTTTTTTTTTTGGCCCTAAATGGTTTCAAGAAAATCAAAAATTAAAATCAAGAACTCACGTTTCTCTTATGAACCCTAGAGTTGCCTTCTCCACCACCGGAAACAGGGACGTTAGTGGTGGCTCCGGTTAAATCAAGCGATCCAACGGCGTTAAGATTCGGAGGATTGAAATCATGCGCCTGTATCCTCCCGTTGGCTGCCACTCCCGGTCCGACCTGCCAAACCTGGTTAACCTTCCCACTCGCCGCTAAATCCGCCGGAACTTTAACCTTGGCAAAGATCCGTAAATCTCCGGCCGCCTCCTCCTCGGCCTTAACGTCCCACACATCGAAAGAAAGCTTCCCCGGAACAAGCGAGCTATAGGAGACGATGTTGAAGGTAGTAACCGTGGCGACGCCGGTTTTGGAGTCTTTAGAGGCGACTAGGGCTTGAGATCCAGCCATGCCGGTGGATTTAGGGTTAATAGCCCAAGCGATCCAACCACCGGGTTTAGACGGTGGAGCGGAGAAAACAACGGAGAGAGTTGTGTTAGATGCGTCATAAGAGTAATGGAGGATGGCTTTGAGGTTAGGGAGGTTAAGACAGTGAGGGTAAGAATTCTTGCCGGAAAATGTCTGTGACGAACAAGAAGATGACTGTGACACAGCCGGTGAGAGTAGCAAAGCCCATGAAAATAATAATACAAAGGAAAAAAAGATTCTAAGGTGAGAAGAAGAAGAAGCCATTGATGATTGTGTGAATTGTAGTAACCGTTAAGTATTGGTCGGGAAATAAATAGAGGTAACGTGGTGATAATTATAGCCTGTATCTAAAGCTAATAAAAGA